ATAATACTAAAATGTAATTTTTTGAGGGTTGAAAATTATTGTTGATAATTGATAATAATTGTATTTTCAATGAAAATGTCTATACATAATTTATACATGACAATATATCATAGAGAGCTAAGTTTGATTCATTTCTGTGAATTAGTTCTCTGTGAATCAGTTCAAATAATTGAAATGGGGGAAAACAATTATTAGTTTGGATTTTTTTACTCACAAATCTTCACTAATGTGTTTGCATTTTTTTATCTACATTCACCAAAAGGATTATAAGGAACACCTGTTCAATTTCTCATTAATGCAATTATCTAATCAACTAATCATATGGCAGTTGCTTCAATGCATTTAGGGGTCTGGGCCTGGTCCTGAGAAAGAAAGGTGATTTAAGCAATTTTGAGCGTGGTATGGTTGGTGCCAGATGGGCCGGTCTGAGTATTTCATAATCTGCTCAGTTACTGGGATTTTCACACACAACCATTTCTAGGGTTTACAAAGAAGCAGAAGTCCTGTGGACGAAAATGCCTTGATGATGCTAGAGGTCAGAGGAGAATGGGCTGACTGATTCAAGCTGATAGAAGAGCAACTTTGACTGAAATAACCACTTGTTACAAACGAGGTATGCAGCAAAGCATTTGTGAACACGCACAACCTTGAAGCGGATGGGCTACAACAGCAGAAGACCCCACCGGGTACCACCCATCTCCACTACAAATAGGAAAAAGAGGCTACAATTTGTAAGAGCTCACCAAAATTGGAAAGTTAAAGACTGAAAAAATGTTGCCTGGTCTGATGAGTCTCGATTTCTGAAAATAGGGTAAACAGAATGAGAACATGAATCCATCATTCCTTGTTACCACTGTCCAGGCTGGTGGTGGTGGTTGTGTAATGGTGTGGGGGATGTTTTCTTGGCACACTTTAGGCCCCTTATTGCCAATTGGGCATCGATAAAATGCCACAGCATACCTGAGCATTGTTTATGACTATGTCCAGCTTCGTGCCCTGGGTGTGCATGCTGCAACTGCAAGATGCTTTCCTATCAATATGGGCCAACATTTCTAAAGAATGCTTTCAGCACCTTGTTGAATCAATGCCACGTATAATTAAGACAGTTCTGAAGGCGAAAGGGGGTCAAACACAGTATTAGTATGGTGTTCCTAATAATCCGTTAAGGTGAGTGTATTTAAAGTATTCGTGAAATTATATGAAAAGAAAATTTAAGATTTAATAATTTATGTAAATCAGTTCAAACTGTTTGTCAGTCAATTTAAAACTTGATTCAATGACTCATTTGCATTATAACTCTATATTTATCAATAAATGATCAAAAGGCTAACAACTATCAAGGTACACTTTAACTATATCACTCAACCCTAAAAAGTGAATATAGTGCTGTTGTTTTTTTTTTTAATAGCTTTAAAGGACAAAAGCAGTAACATGATACTGAAGATAAACGAATGCTGTTGGGACTGAGAGGAAAATTGCATCTGCAGTGTTTGGAGAAAAGGACTAGGGCTCAACTGAGCTAGTTCAGAAGAAATGGGTTATGAAAAATAACTGCCTTCCTCTCAAAATCGGACAGATCTGCTGACGCAGTGTCCATTGCACACCTCAAAGAGAAAACTTGCCCATACATCATAAACACACACAGTTTGGATCCAGCGAAGCACTCAAGGGACTTTTAACATTAAAAAATACAGACACCTGTGTCAGGCTGCCTATAGTTTAAAGGGGTAATTTCGTGGAAAACCAAATTGTTCCCTGATCTATTGAAAAATACATATTTCCCAATACAAATGCCACATTCTGTTCCAGAAGAAATACTATCCATGCAATTATAGATGCCACACATCAATCCAGACACATCATACAGGCTCCTAAGGGACTTTCATATTTGTTTGGCCAGCTCAACCACTGGCAGACCAAAGGAGGAATAACATGCGCTTACATCAGCATTTGTGCACTCTGTGTAAACAGAACAGGGATAAATAGAGTGCCTAGCCAGCTGCTGGTCAGAAGGGATTGTTACACTGGTAAGTAAAACTCATTCCTTTTATTAACAACATGGCTAATGGCTAAGCTAAGCAGTTTTCACACAAAAAGGCTGTTATGAAGAGATTGCTTCATTATCTTGTAAAGCCACAAGGATGTTGCTCTTTTCAAAACATTTCCGCTGCTGACCAATTAAGACACACTGTATGTACAGGTAAGGGATTGATGGACTGATAAACCCTAAAGTATACTAATATAAGTAGTAATAAACAAGTTTTAATATAAAGGTTGGTAACACTTTAGAATAAGTATGCTGTAATAAAGTACTTACAAACCTTTATAGTTAATTCATAGTTGATATATTGTAGTTTCTGCATTATTATTTATTAAATGCATTGTATATATTTATCAGCTATATACCAAATAGTGAGTTCCCAGTTTAGAGGAAACTGAGGCGAAACTGCATCGATAATGACACTTAACGTCACTTTACACTCTTAGTGTAGCGTATCTGAATTATCAATAAAACTATTCCAATCCTATTGCCGTTGCGTGATGGCGTAATCTTTTATGGCATATACGGAAGCTACAAAGGGACGCCAGCACACAAGTGATAGCTTTCGCTCTTCAGTGAGCACTCTCTGTTATGTGATCTGTCTATTTGTTGTTGTTTGTCCCTTAGGAACTTAAAATTGTTAGTTTAAGCAAAGCTGAAAGCATGTGTCTTCCTGCCCAGGTTAAAACTTTGGGACATGACACACGTGATCGGTTTATGATACAGTTTGGATGGGAGGTATGCACAGTCAGCTCTTAAGGGTGCTGGCAAAAAAAAAGGGAAAAAAAGACGCTTTCGGCTGTTTCAGCCTCGCACCAATTGACTTTCTTCTCGAGGGAAGAAAGACGATATGTTTTACGAATGGCTTACATCTTGCATTGCCGAGGCAACGTGTAGATTATGTGACCGGTAAATTAAATGAATTAATATTATCTGGCTTTGAGAAGTTAGATATTTTAATTCAGCCTTTCATTCACACTGTTTCACTTATCTGGTGATTATGGCTGCATTTAATTCAGAGGAATTAAAAAAGTGAAATAATCATCTGACTAAGCTGAAAGAGCATGCATGGGTAGTTCTTGAGGGGGCTGCCTGCGTGAATTATGAGCAGCTCGCTCCTCTGAGGAGCCCTCAGGAAATCGATGTCTCTATCCAGCCACCAAGTGCGCTTCGGGATACATTGGTTTAAAGTGAATGCATGTTGCATTGTCCACCCCAAAGCTTGCGGCCAGGCAGGAATTGCATAATGCATTAAAATACCAATAATATAATAAGATAACTATAAGATGAGATTGTTTGAAATGGGTAAAAAGAAAAAAAACGCTAAAAGAAAATTTAGGTTTCGTCTATATACTACTAGGTACACTCTCAGAAAAAAGGTACAAAAGCTGTCATTGGGGCTGTCATTTTTCAAAAGGTAATTTTTTTTTTCCATTTTAGGAGCTAATATGTACATTTTAGGTGCTAATTTGTACATTTCAGGTGCTAATATATACATTTTAGGTGCTAATATGAACATTTCAGGTGCTAACATGTACATTTCAGGTGCTAATATGCATATTTCAGGTGCTAATATGTACATTTCAGGTGCTAATATGTACATTTCAGGTGCTAATATGCATATTTCAGGTGCTAATGTGTAGATTTTAGGTGCTAATATGTACATTTCAGGTGCTAGTATGTACATTTTAGGTGCTAATATGAACATTTCAGGTGCATGTACATTTCAGGTGCTAATATGCATATTTCAGGTGCTAATATGTAGATTTTAGGTGCTAATATGTACATTTCAGGTGCTAATATGTACATTTCAGGTGCTAATATGTACATTTCAGGTGCTAATATGTACATTTGATTTTAGGTGCTAATATGTACATTTCAGGTGCTAATATGTACATTTCAGGTGCTAATATGTACCATTAAGGTACCAATATGCAGCCTTTAGGTAGAAAAGTGTACCTTTTGAAAAGGTAGGCTACAGCTCCAGTGACAGCTTTTGTACCTTTTTTTTCTGAGTGTGTAGCGTATACTATATTGACTGGGTTAAATAGAATTGCATTACTAAAAAGAGACTAAAATACAATTTTCATTGACAAAATTTCTTTCGTCAACTAAAACTAGACTAAAATGTGATCAGTTTTCGTCAACTAAAACTAGACTAGACTAAAAAAGAGACAAACACAGTATACAGCTTAAAGCTGAGCTCTTGACAACATGATTCATTAAAACAAAACACATGATGTTCAGTAGTATGCTAAAAAAAGCAAGAAAGGAAGGATATTTTTTTATTTCAGCAGCATAAATTCAACACGAATACTAGTCATTCACAAAGTTTCGACAAGCACAAACACAGTAATAAACAAAGACACCTGACAGACAACACATCACACATATAATAGCACAAAAACACACAAGTCACAAGTGCCCACTGGAGTGCAGGGTAAGTATTTCTCTCAGTGTGCTTTCATCAATACTAACAAAGTGAGTTGCGAATATGACATTACCATATCGCCCGTGGTAAAACCCTGGATTTTGACCTTGAACTTTCACCCCGTGGCATGCCTATTGCAGTCCCAGGGCACAAGCAGGTGCAGTGAACATGCACAGATAAGCATTCTCTCGTCACTGGTAGCACTTTAAGTGAAAGGGAGTCAGTCCATTCCATGTTTGGAATCATGTCTCTACTGATAATCATGTAGAGCACAGCTTACGTAGTGTTTAAGTTAAACCCATTCGACTAAAGAGCAACCAGTTGTGAGACATCAATATTCCGACAAATCCAAATACCCTATTCCCCTAACCCCCTTGCTGTGGCAACTACTTCGGCATCCCTGGCGGTAGCAACAAGGAAGGGAGGGGGATGGGGTTCAGCCAACACATGCTAGTATCCTATTAGCTGGCTCTCATGAGGAAATAATTGGTGGCCCATGCAGAATCTACAATACTCAGAATGTCTTACCCTGTCTTTCCCTATGAGACACTTTGCATGAACAGAAGACAAATAATGGGTGCAATATTAGTCAAATTTTGTTTGTGCTCAATATAGCAGAAAAAAAAAAATCAACAGAATTGTTTTGCAAGATAAATCAACAACAGAGGTTCAATAAGGTGACAATGCCAGTAAAATTCAATGCTCTTTTTTGCACCTAAAAACTATGAATTGTCATGCAATTTACAGTGAAATACAGTAAAAAGACATTCCCAGATGTACATTCATGACATATGATTACATTTATTTAAATAGGTTAGATTCTTAGGTTGTTTCTTAATGTGTTACTGTGTGTGTTCATGTTTATTGCATTACTTTAGTGTTATTCGAGTTATCTTTGTGTGAATTAACCTGTAAACCATCGATATATTTGAGTATTGGCCAAGTTTTATAGACAGGCCACTTACAATGATTTATGTGGCTTTCTATTATGCCACCTGCATTATTATGGTGCTTATTAGTACACTGTAAGTTAAAAGCAGATTTTGGTAGTTCAAGTGGTTATATTAACATTATATAAGTACATTTAAAATATTGTTATAAGTTGATCACATAAATGCCCTGAAGCATTGTCACAGTATCTCTTGTAGTGAATTTCTAGCACCCACAGCTGCTTTTTTTGCCGTAAATTTAATGGGATATTTTTTTGTGTGTGTGTGAACTCACTTTTTCACTGAATGTTTTGCATGTGGAAAAGATTCAAATCACACACTCACACACACATACATACACAACTACTTATATTAGCAACAGAAATGGCATTAGTCCATTCAGTCCAGTGATTGTGCACATTCAGACGTGACACTTCCCTCAAATCACATTAGTAGAGCACACAACAAAAAGAAAAGAAAAACTCTAACCACTTTGTCCTCCTTGAGTCATGCAGTCCAGGAAGCAGAGAGTGAAAGACAAGCAAATAGAAGTAGGGGGGGTTGGAGGTGGAAGAGAAAAAGTGTGAAATTAAAATTAAAAATAAATAATGGTGAGAAATGGAAAGAGAGAGTGTGTGAAAAAGAAATGGAGAGAGGGAAGGAAGAGTGGGTGGATGGGAAAGGAGGTGGGAAAGTGTTAGTGAAGCAACCCAGTTTTCTCCCGTGCATCAAAATAGACATTTGAGAGTGTCAAGGGCATTTAAAAATGTTTTAAGCTTGTAATATTCATACATGTATCACTGACATATTGAACACTGCCAATGACATATTGAACTTGAAATGTTATCTGTGTGATCAGATGTGTTTTTCTATACATAACGGCAGACATGTCCAACAACGGTCATGTGTGGCTCTCCGCTAGAGATGAAATGTGAGAACAGAACAATGACACCTCTAGACATGTGTTCCATTCATACTAAAATGAGAATGTCACAAAACACAGATGAGGGATGCTTGTCCATAACTGTGAGGCCTCACTGAATCTGTGTCTGTGCATCATATTTTGTTACACAAATTGTGTTTGATTTGGGATGTCTGCAGTAAATCTTTTGGATGATTGAGATAACATGAGTTTGTACCTGTAATGCCCCCAACAGGGAAACACAAGAACAGCATGTGAATGGTGTGCTCTATTGCAGTCCTGGGGCCTCATTTATAAAACTGTGCGTAGGATCCTTACTAAAAGTGTACGTGAGCCCGCAAGCCAAAAATGGGGGTACACAAAAAAATATTCAGACTTATAAAACCGTTCGTACGGCAGAACCTGCGCAAAATTCACTTTATAAATCCCAGTCAGCGGAAGAATGCGCGCACATGCGTCTCCTCCCCGAAATAACCATATATGGAGATTACAATGCCTAGTTTGACTATGCATATCCTCATCTGCATATCATTTGCATATGATTATTCATCCACTTGTTACCATGTTTAAAGGAGAACTCCGGCGAACAATGAACCTTTGGTCTAATAAAACATCGGTACCTAGTCAATCGTTCTTTGAGATTTGTTTTCATGATAATCGAATGTAAAGACTTATCTCTAAAAACTGTTTAGCATATAATGCTAGTAATGGGGGCATTGACTAAGTAAAAAGAAATCGCTACTTTATACCACTAACAAGGCTCAAAATAGCCCCACACTAACACAGAAACATACTGAGGCTCCATACATGCAAAACGAAGCATTGAGAACTTTGTAAGTGTACAGACCATTTAATAAGAAGAAACTTTATGAAGACAGTTCACTTCGTGTATACAGACAGGAGCCATCTTAAAAATAGTCTCGATAAGTCGATCCCCGAACGCGGTTCAGAAGTTCGCTGAACTTCATACAGCTAACCTACATCTAACGGATTGTGCCAAAATCGGGCTAAAATCGTGTAATCTGAACCAGGAATAAGGACCACGGCACACGTTGTGTGATTATCCAGGCAGTTTAGGACACCGCACAAGATTTGTCTCAACACAGAAAACATTTCATTACTAGAATTTTTTGTTTTGTTTATTGAAAGTGTGGTTTATGTCATGTGAATATGTGGAAAGCTTTTCAGAGAAGATAAGGCAACGTTATTTTAGCACAATTCACAACCTCTGGTAGTGACCACTGGTATACTTCGGTCTTCTGACCTTTTACCATCGTGTATTCTCAAAGATATTCAGTCAACTCAATTCATTAATATGCGCTAGGGAGGGAGAGAGAGCAAGACAGTTTGAAGACGGCACGTGCGACCGGGGCTTTCACTCTCTGCTCTTTCTCTCAGTTAAACAAGCGCAGCAGTCAGTCATCTACATCACTCATCTACATCACTCATCGGTCAAATAAGGCTTTGGCGGGACAAAAATACGCCTTAGTAAGGCTGACAGAAAACAGCACACAAGTTCCAGTCTTCCTCCACTTGATGTTTAAACTGACAGTACTTGCACTCTTAATGTATGTGCTTGTGCAAAAACAAACCTCCCGCCCCCACACTCACATCTACACACACATTAAAAATAGACAGGAATTTTTATCGGAAAATTTACATCAACCCTATTTTCACATCGGAACGATACCGATGTGTAAAAAACTGACCATATCAGCCGATATTATATCGGAGGCCGATTTATCGTGCAACACTAGTAGTCAGGATGATTTTCACATAGTTTCACATAGCAAATATTCTAGGCTATGTGATACAATTTTCTAAATTCTTGTAAAGAAATAATTAGTATGGGTTTCATGACCTTATTTCAATGACAATGTTTTTTATTTTTTCACAAACCACTCAAAAACGTCATTATCTCAAAACTAAAAACTTTTACATACATGCTGCTGACATTTTACTGTAGCAGAGTTTGTGCTGAATACAGTTTAATCAGACTTTAGCCATGAAAATTTCACAAGTAAAAAAGCACAAACGTCAAAGCATGTTAGAACACCTCCAGGACCCAGAAAACACCACAGACCCCAGAAGGTTAAGTCTGTAGATTGCAAATGCTCAAAGGGAGCATTCTGAAGTGCTCAAGACACCAGGGAAAGGTCCAAAGAGGGTATGGAGGGGGATAGAGGAAGATTTAATCGTCTGGACCCATAAGAAAGCTGACGTCAAGTCTTGCTTTCCTACAGTTTTGCCATCTATGTGGTCATGATATGCTGAGAATGTACTTTAAGGCTGAAGGGAGACAGCCTTCTCTTCAACCCTTGCTGCAAGAAGGAAAGCACAGAACCTATGGAACTTCTTCTGGGATCTTCTCGGCGAGAAGACTACTACTCATTGAACAGGTTCATACGTACTGTTAGCAACTCCACACCCCTGACACTGCATGCCCGTTGTACGTGGCACTCCAGCCGGTGCCAGAGGCATCTGTGAATACAGCATGCCTGGACACCTGTTCCAAAGGGACTCCTGCAGGAGCGAGGGGTTGGGATACGGTGGACCTGCCCGATCCTGTCGGCGGCACAGGAAAGTATGTCCCATGCCATGGGGGAGGTTTGAATTGAGACAGAGGCACGGGGACTACGCCCCTTTGCAGGAACGAGAGTCTCGACCATAGCTCCCCGATGGTCATCTTCCCACAATGGGTACATGATTCATCTACAAAAGCTGCCTCAGCGTGTTTGAGGCCCAGACACACGCGGCAACGATCGTGGCCATCCCATCACCCTAGGTAACGACAGCACCCAGAAACACACATATAGAAAGTCATCTTTAAAAAGACGCATTCTATCAGTGTAAGCTCTTTTAGGGACTGCTCAGGGTTCAGTAGTGCTCAAGCACGCCGTCACTGCAAACACAGACAGGAACAGTAGCGGAGTGGCAATCGGGAGAGTCGGGAGTTTTCCCGGTGGGCCGGTAGTGTTACGAGGCCGCGAGGGCCGGCCCGGTCTGATAAAATGTATTTATTGGAAGTTCGCCATGGCCCAAGCTAAGGGAAGAAAACATTTTTTTTTTTACATTTTTTATAACGGAGCATATATTTGCACTAAATGCCTGTCTTTACAGCAAAACGACACCCGTCTTAGAACAGCCTCAGTGGCGTAGGTCGTAAGGCGTGAAGTGTTTGAATGCAGCTTTTTGATGCGCTGAACGCGAGTTCGAATCCGCCTTGCCGAACTCTCTCTTCTCCCTTTTCCCAACACAGATATGTAAAGATGTAAAATGTAAAACCTAATTTTATATTTTATGTTACATTTTGCCAACGAACTAAAATTGAAACCATATGGCGTTGCGCCATTATAATAACTGACATTAGAATAGCATTTTGTTCTGCGTGATTACTTTGCTCTCGCGATCATCTGGTGTTTTCTCCTAAATAAAAGCTCAAGGGTTTATTTCTTGCAAGTGAAGAAATTAGGACAAAAGTATTTTAATTTTCCTATATTATAGTGTAATGTAGGTTAAAATATACTTTTGAAATACTCATTTTCATTTACACATTTATAGGCTATAAATGGATTTTACAGTACGTCATAGGAATAATTATACATCATTTTTACATTATTATAATAATTGTTTGGCATCCTAAAACACCATTGATAATGTAATGCAAACTGAGACTCTCATAACTAAAAAAATATTTGAGCCCTCTTTATTGTCCTGGTACAAATTAATGTTTTTTCTTTGTTCAACGAGCAGTTCATGGGTCTTAATTTCGATCTCTCAGAGAGCATGAGATTGATGCATTATAACCTTAAAATGTCCAAAATTTTCTTGCGGGGGAGCATGCCCCCGAACCCCCGTAGAGGCACAGAGTCCACCCAACTACTTTTAGAAAGTACTATGGGAAAGAACGACCATTTATGAACTTTACTCCAGCATACTAGTACAACAAAGTTCCCTTTAAATCAGTAAAACTGTAAATGCTATTGGCTAATCGTGCCGGCGACGAGGGCCGGTGGTCTATGAAATTTCCCGGTAGATTTTTTGGTCCCACTCCGCCCCTGGACAGGAATGTGCACCTGTCTGTGCGCTACCTCTCTCGCTGGCAGGTCTTACCAGCTGTAAAAACAGCTTTTAAGCGCTCTGAATGCCGCACCTTTCCAGCTGGGTCATGAATTATGTCATAGTGACTGTCGGAAAACCAAGGATAATGAGGAGATGACGCAATGAGGAGGGATATTAAAATTAAAAATGACATTTGGTAAAATGCAAGTACACAAGTGAAACACTGTGCTAGTGATTCTTGGATATTTTAATGTAAAAATCTTACATATTGTGCCTTTAATAGCTAGTGGTAACCAATAAACAGTTAATATTATAAATCTTTATTGTTACCAAAAAAAATTTAATTATTATACATGGGTGGCCATGTGACTGGTCTGAAACAGAGTTTACAATGCATTTAAAGAAAACATTGGGATCAGTTGTTTTATTTGTGATAATGCAATGCAACATGACAAATTGTGTGGAAATATTTTTTAGACAGGCAGTCAATAAAAAGAAAAATGAACTAAGGGTGGGCGATAATACCAAAATCAGTACAAACACAGATGCCCAAAGCCATCTGCAAACTTGGTCTTACGACAGATACCACAGGTAGGTGCATCATCTTTATGGACAGCCTGCTGTCATTTAGTTTCTGCTCCAATCTTCTTCACCTGCTCCTTATAATGATATTTATTTTTTAATTTTACAAAGAACCAAATTACATGAATTACTTTTACATTTCTTATTATTAATGTACTGGATTCAGTCAAGAGCAGTTATTTTCTCAATTATTTGATTAACTTTAATGACAGAGAGCAGCAAATATCTTAGGGTGCTGTTACTAAAATAGTGAATGCAGGGATCCATTATACTGATACACATCCAGTTTACACCCAACTGTTTACTTTCAATTGAGACATAACCGACGGTGTTTACATGAAGATGGGCATTTGACATAATTGTGTGTGTATTCGACCATTCAAGCGCAATTAGATGTGAAAGAGATTTGAATTCATTATAGCATGCAAGAGACGCTGTTTCTGCGTGCGCGCTTCAGCTGTGTCAGTGCAAGAACCACATTGAGTTCTTTTTCACAGCTTATTGTACTTAATAACTCTTTTTAACATCAAGAACGTCGCAAATTCACAATCGCTTTCTGAGAGAAATAGCTTACTTTGTGCGTGCTTTGGCAGTGTGCCAGTCAGTACAAACACTGCACAATTCATGCCTTTTAACAAAAAACATATGCAAAAACAAGAGCGAACTACCGTAATATTAACTGATTATTTTATAATCCATTCCACGTGAGGTTAACTCCATCAATTCTTATTTTAAAAACATGTGTAATATTAAATTATGGTTTAATGTCATCATTTTTGTAAAGCACTTTGGGGCAATGTCTGTTGTTTGAAAATGTGCTATATAAATGACGTTGATTGCTTGCTTGCTAATCATTGTATGATTTTTCCTGTGAGCTTTTGATTTCCTATGCTTTTTTTTTTGTTTTGTCTGAAGTGTAAGAACAAACTTGATTCAGAGGAGTCTCTCATGTTTCATTAAAAAATATGCCATCTGTGTTTAGAAGGTGAACAAAAGTCAAGTAGGTTTGGAACAACACAAGAGTGAGTAATTGGTGAAAGAATGTTCATTTTTGGACTAACACTACAAGTTATTGCTAGACAATGATCTAAATCTAAACATCCAATAAATCAGCTTAAAATTGCCAATACTGGACAATTCTTAAAATTGTGCCAGTATACTGTGCATCCCGAATATAAACAGCATTATAAGGTTGAGCTGCTTTAAAATACTTTGTCATATTACTAGTATCCACAGAACACTGCTTTCAGAGTCCCACCGTTACTATTCCTTATTGAAAACTTTGGGTAGGGACAGTAGGGGACCTCACCCAGCTGGGGAGGACGGAACTAAGGCAGATTGTTCCTCAGCATGCCCAGTGAGATGAGTCCAATCTCAGGTAAGTCACTCTAGAGGAGGGAGGGTGTCTTTAGAGACAGCAGGCAAGGATGAGCTCTTAAAATAGACCCTCACATGTTGTGCTGCTGGAAACAGTCCCACCTTACCCTGCTGGTGCTTTGTAAAGTCAATGAAGATTTCACTCAAAGAACGGAGTCTTTATAAAGCTCAGAGGAGCTGTGGGTGGTTTGGATTTCGCAGTTTATATCTGTAGACTTGTTTGAATAGGAGAAACTGAGATTAACTGTTTGTATTCTGAATTTGGATTCGCCAATTTAATTTTTTACAGATTCAGTAAATTCCTCAGAAGTGAATCAATCAAACAACTGATATGTGGTTACAAACAATAAAAGACTAAAGCAAGCATAATTAAACAAATTAAACATTCAAATGGTAAATGATGTGTCAATGGAAGTGACTCCACAGTGAGAAAGACAACATGGAGGATGAGAAGAAACAAGCAATGAAAGGGTCCTTACATTATTTGAACGCAACGACACTCTTCCCCCGCAGCGGGCACAGAACTTGGTCTGGCAGTAGGAACACAGATGCCCACAGCCATCTGCAAACTTGGTCTTACGACAGATGCCACAGGTAGGTGCATCATCTTTATGGACAGCCTGCTGTCGTTTAGTTTCTGCCCCAATCTTCTTCACCTGCTCCTTATAACTCTCAAACTGCTGGTGCAGTGTCCTGACAGACAGAAAATATGATGGGGAGAAAGAGAGAGAGGGAAAGGAGGAGTGTTTGTTAGTTTGTTTGTATTGTTAAAAAAAGTACAAATAAAACTGATGAAATGTAAAAAAAAAAAAATTGAAAAAAAAAAATTGAAATTGAAAAAAAAAAATAAATAGTAGATGAAAACCTTAAGCCAAAATTAGAAATGTTTCCTAGGCAGCTCCCTAAGTGAAATAAATAAGTTTAAGATGAAGCACTAAAATTAATAAAAGTAAATAAAATATCAATTAAAGCTATAAAAAGACAAATGCACAAAATGACTAAAACTTCGAATCAAAATACAAAATATTAATAAATGGTGCATACAGTAAATACACTAGAATAGATCCTCCGCCAACCCAGGTACCGCATAAAAATACATTAAAGGGTTAGTTCACCCAAAAATGAAACTTATGTAATTACAAATGTTTAACTGAACACAGTTTAAGATATTTTAAATTTAGTCCAAGAGTTTTCTGTCCCTCCATTGAAAATGTATGTACATACTGTCCTTGTCCAGAAAGGAAATACAGACACCATCAAAATGGTCCATGTGACATCAGTGGGTTAGTTAGAAAATTGAAGCATCGAAAATACATTTTGGTCCAAAAATAACAAAAACTACAACTTTATTCAGCATTGTATTGTCTTCCGGTTCTGTTGTCGAGCCGCGTTCAGTGACGCTGCTGACGTGTTATCAGTGTGCCCAAGCTTCGTTTACAGTGTAAGTGAGACGCACGCTGTAAACAAAAAAATCTTCGCAAACATGTCTAAGGATTTCAACTCAGAGGAAGACTTGCATTTTTTTTGCCCAGCCATATTTATTTAAACCTGAATACACGGACACACCAGATACACGTCAGCAGCGTCACTGCGGACTCGTGAACGCGGATTGACAACAGAACCGGGAGAGAATACAATGCTGAATAAAGTTGTAGTTTTTACTATTTTGGGACCAAAATGTATTTTCGATGCTTCAAAATATTCTAACTAACCCACTGATGTCACATGGACTACTTTGATGATGTCTTTATTTCCTTTCATTTGCACTTCATTTTATTCTAAATGGTTTTAATTTACTGTATTTTATCTTTATCATAATTTTTATTTTTAATTTTTTCTCATTTTTTATTCTAAACTGTTTTAATTATTCTGATTTCTTTTGATTATTTTAATTTATTCTATGTAAAGCACTTTGAATTGCCATTGTGTATGAAATGTGCTATATAAATAAACTTGCCTTGCCTTGCCTTTCTGGACAAGGACAGTTTACCGTGTATACATTTTCAATGGAGGGACAGAAAGCTCTCGGACTAAATCTAAAATATCTTCAACTGTGTTCTGAAGATGAGCGGAGGTCTTACGGGCTTGGAACGACATGAGGGTGAGTCATTAATGACATCATTTTTGGGTGAAATAACCCCTTTATATAGCATTTAATGTGTCTTTTACTGATCATTTGTTTGTCTTACACTTTAAAATGAATATTTTATACTGTATATCTTCTTCTTAGACCCCTAGCAGTACCTTCAAGTACCTACGGGGATTCTTGGACGTTTTATTTAAATCTTCCAAGAACCCAACAGGTAAACATTGTTGTATTGTATATTACTAAAAATGCAGACAACTAAACAACTAAAAGTTTTATTTTCAAGATAAAAACGAACACATGGAAAAGACATCTTGGCGACATACATGAGCTATGTGGGTGATGGAAAGTATTTAGCACATGTACAACATCATATTATATCCGATATATATCATTATATATTATAAATGAGTCACATAGTGTGAATCAGTCTGTAAAACCACAATTAAAATAATCCATCTGAATTGTAACCTGACTCCACTTTGTTTGTAGTCTCCTTTCACTGGAATGAAATTAAACTGTTAATGAATTGCCAATGAGGCGCTGCTGTCTGCTTAAAAAAGATGGGGCTTCATTCAGAAACATTTCTAAAAGGAACAGCACATTAGCATAACAGTTCTTTTATAGCAAGTGGTTAGCAGCTCTAATGACCACGGTAAAGACATTAAGCCATTTAAAATTATTCCCCTGAAAAAAAGACAGCTCGTTGTCAATTGTGAATTCCTAGCATGCATTTTCCCTTAAAAGTTGCCTCCAACACTATTGGCTGACAGGTAACCAAAATGTTCATCCTCACCTTCTAACCAAGAGCTCACTGTTTAGTTCAACCCTGTTACAACATTTGTCATTTGAAAATGAGTACACATAGGCTATACTGCAGTAAAAATTATTCTTCAAAAAATAAAATCCGCGAAAGCAAATGGAAAGCATCACCTCTGTTTGTGGCGAACAGCCATGATCTGCAATTTCCTCTCAAAATCCCAAACCTGCACAAAATATCGACTCCAGAATCCACTGAAACTCTCTATCAAATGTCCCACAACTTCTGTTCTCCATGGCTGAAAATGCTAGCATTCTCTCTTGCTTGCCCACATTTACAGCTTCCCTTCTAGAATCAGACAGCAGACTGCAGTCCCAGGTATCTGGATGGAGGTTGTGACTTTGGGGAGTCTTGGCTTGTGATGCTATATTACGCAGTCAGGATGAAACCATTACGTGGGAAGTCGAAGGCGTGGCGACAAGGATGAATCATTGGCAGGAGAATCAAAGAAAAGAAAAGTGACCTCTTTAAGGTTATGTGTGGATATGCTTAAGAAGATTTATGGACATTTCAAGTGCACTATACACATATTGAATGACATCTTGAAATGAAATCTTCTAAATAAGATGACAAGACAAGCATGAAAAAGTGTTTTTTGTTTTCCAGAAGAATGAAGATTCAAAACATGAAGTCTTTATTTAGGGAAGTCAGACAAGCACTATTAGGCAAATTGAAGGAGTAGTTCACTTTTTTTTAAACTTTTGCTGATAATTTACTCACCCCCATGTCATCCAAGATGTCCATGTCTTTCTTTCTTCAGTCGAAAAGAAATTAAGGTTTTTGATGAAAACATTCCAGGATTTTCTGCATATATTGGACTTCAATGGGAACCAAATGGTTCAAGGTCCAAATGAGAGATTCAGTGCAGCTTCAAAGGGCTTTAAACGACACCAGACTATGATTAAGGGTCTTATCTAGGACCCTTTGAGTGTCACAGTCTGCGTCTGCACTGTTCTGTCTGCGTCTCCAGCACTACACTTCCCAAGATCCTCTTGTCACCCACACCTGAACTCACTCGCTCATCAGCCTCCTGTTCATCGTCTCGTTCATCAGTATCACCTGTTTTCACCCCATTATGTTTGATTCCTCCTTGTATTTAGTTCCCTCTGTTTTAGTCAGTCTTTGTCGGTCGATGTTGCATGTTACCTTGTGTTGCTCCTACCTGTATTCTTGTGATTTATATATATTGATAGTAAAAGTGCTCTTCGTTGTAATCTGGACTCTGTCTGCTCTTCTGCCTGCACCACACCGTGACAGATCGACCGACCAAACAAATTGACCGATTGTTTCGCTAGATAAGACCGTTATTCATCGTCTGGTGTCATTTAAAGACCTTTGAAGCTGCACTGAAACTCTCAATGTGGATGGTTTGTTTCCCACTGAAGTCCATTATATGGAGAAAATCCTGGAATGTTTTCATCAAAAACCTTAATTTCTTTTCGACTGAAGAAAGAAAGACATGGACATCTTGGATGACATGGGGGTGAGTAAATCATCAGCAAACGTTCTTTTTTTTTTTTTTTTTTAAAGTAAACTACTCCTTTAATAAACTTCTTTAAGTTCACAAGGGCTATAGATATTTACTGGTAAAGTCTAACCTCGGAGAACTGTCAAGTTTGAGAGAGTTGAGGCGGATAAGTGCTCTTAACTGGGAACAACTGTCATGGTATAGCAAGGGACCAGGTCTCCAGGCATCATGGGAACACAAGTAAGTTAGCTCTACAACTCTCAAACCTGTGTGACTTTCTTCTGTAGAATTGGACTATACGGTGAAATGTTGAAGAATATGCTGGCCAAACATTTCCATAAAATAAAAGTCAATGAGGAATGAATCTGTTATCTTTTTTTTTTTTTTTAGTTGCACTCCCTTAATTTATGCTTATTCAAACAAATAAACCAAAACATTTCATAACAATTTTCTTTGACTGTGATACAGTTACAAAATGATAGAATACCAATCATGAGAATCACCTTTGAGACAAATTTGAATGACAAAAACTTAAGGATGCCAGATGCTTAAGGTAATGTGTGTGTATGTGTCACATTTGAAAGTGTGGGTTGAGGTGAAAGTTTAAGATTGCTTTGTGTGAGAAACACTGATTATTTTCCCCTTTAGTGATTTGTTAATCACTGAGATTAGCTAACCAAGACAGTGAGTTGAAATTGAGAACTATAGATCAGTTCACACTTCACAAAGAATCATTAAAATCGGTTTTGTGAACTAGATCCATCAACTCACTGAAAAGATCTGACTCAGAAAGAATACTGATTCGTTCACAAATCAGACATTGCTACTTCTCTCAAGAACATTCCAAAGAGAGTTAGGCTAGAAATCAAAAGTTTCAGTGAATAAACGTCAGACAGCCTGCTCATCATTCAAAGTTATTGGACTACTTTGATCATGTGTTTTTATCATTTTAACCTTGACAGCCCTGGTCCTCATTCACTTTCATAATATAAAAATCATGGCCAGGATATATTCTTCTAAAAAAGAAAGAAAGAAATTCACAAGTTTTAAACAACTTGATGGTGAGTGAATCATAATAGTACAATTTTTTTTAGATGTACTACTACTTTAGCACTGAGTTGTTTAATATGATCTCACACTGGTCAAGAAACACAATTGTTAGAAAGCTTAATAGAAATGTACAATTACATTTTCAGGTTTAAATAACAACCTGAATTTTTCTGCGTTTCTGTGATGTGCCTCAAGTTAGAAAGGTTGCTGATACTGAAGCTAAATCTAGATCCACCGATTCACTACTTGGCTGGTCATTGGAACACAGT